ACATCATGCTCGTTGTAAAATTATTTCTAAACCTTGGTTTTGATCTGGGGTGCTTCAGCAAGTGTTGCCCTTGTTTTTAGTAAAATGGGCTACCGCGTGTTATGTGCGTGTTTCGGGTATTTAGCATGAAGATCTTGGAGTCTATAGTTAAATGATGCAAAATCAGCTGCGCAGTCCTTCTTACTAAAGCAGCTAAGCCTTGCAAAGCCTTGGAGCTTTACTAGTCAAAACATAAAGCTGACTGTCAGCTGGGCGGGATCTGGAATGGTTAATTTCATTTATTTATGATACAATTAGGTCTCTTTCAGTAATCATTCCATGTACTCAAAAGGAATCTCACATTATAACCATATGGGATAAAGTATATACGCACAAATACTCTGATAGAGGTGCTAATAAATCTTTTATGAGTAAAAATATTTAGATAGTAATTTTTTAGCTGTCAGCAATTGCAGAGTAAGTTGGATCAGAAACGCGCATTTCATTGTGCCAAAGTCGGGTGAATGATATCACAAAGCAGCTGGCCCGCGCTGTATGCCAAAACTATTCATTAACCTTTAACTTGCAAAAATAGCAGACACCTCTACCCCCCGCCCCCCTTGAGGTTTGTCTTCTGGCTGGTTTATGCAACGAGTTCAATGGTAAAAGTTCCATGGAAGTCAGAATCAAGTCCTTAAGAGCAGTTAAGGAGAAGTAGAGGCAGTTTTGGGAACTGCAAATTATTTTGTCAAGCTTCAACTTTCGTAATCTTAAGGCATTCGTGCTGTCACTGGCTATGTGCTTGATATGTGTTTGGACGATCTGCATCTCTCTGCTACGTGGTTCTCTCTGGTAAATCAATAGGGTTCCTGAATTAAAGGGTTGTTGGGAGTTCCCTTGGCTGAAGTAGGCTGAAATAGAAGGAAGCTGATGCAGTTGGCGCCTTCATTGCTGTCTGTGGAGAACGTAGAAAACATAGTGTAAATTTTCACTATATTTGTGGGAAAACAAGCTGACAAAATTGGTTTCATTAATGCGTGGTGAAAAATGTGAAGCAGTGTTTTTATCATGGTCAGTAACATCATTCTCATTTTAAATGATTAAGTAAAGCTTTGTGGAACTTAGCCTTGGAAAATTTAATCGCACCTGTCGGAGAACTACCTGTAAGACGAGGTTTGCTTACTCAGTCCTCGTTTTTATGAATTACTTTTAGGACTTGGGTTCCTTATTTCGCATTTTAACCCCTAACTGCTTACAGAAGTTTTGTGCAGCATAATAAAAGTCGCTCGCTTCCTGGGAGGGTATTGGTTTTGCTAAGTCCCTTAGTGCTTTTTTGGATACTGATTTAAAATTATGTCCTGCTGCTCTTGTATTCCTTGGTCGTTAATGCAATGAAGCACTCCAGGTTCTCCTCCAGTCGTACCGGTCACGTCCGTCCGTGTGCGCCTGACTCGTGCTTTGGGCCTGGCTTGGATAGGGCAGCGCATTATGGAGCAAGTACGGGCCCCC